CTAATTAGTTCATGTTTTTATGGCCTGTGTTTCTATTGAGTTTGTCCTGTTCTCCTCTTTACTTTTGTCTGCTGCTTTGTGTTTTGTTAGATCCTTGATCAGGAATGGACAATTTCAGGCCTAAGCCCTGATTGGACGTTCATTTTTAGGAGGATGTAAGGGATTTCACCATTAACAGGAGGTAGTTGGTAAATTTATACCTGTCTGAATCTAGAATGTCTGTTTTTTTACGACCTGCATAAAAGTCCAAATGGCCTACTGTTTATTGCTACTTGAAGCCACATTTCTGAGCTTCTAAAGGAAATCAATTCCAAATTCGTTGTTGTAAATCTGTTTTGGCCACTGAAGTGTATTGTATGGTTACACATCGTGGCATTTTGCATTAGAAAAGCAGCATCTTATGCATTAGAAATGAACACATTACAGAATTGCTGAAAGTTTGTGTCCATGTACTCTGTTTATTGACTAGCTGTCAAAAGCCACTTTTTTGAGGTGTGTTGTGGTTCAATGTAATTAGTTGTTGTCATGACGATTGCACCAGCACTGATGGCAATAAGCTTAGAATGACCAAGAGGCGACACTCAATAATAGAACGTTCCATTGCAACAGCAGCGCCCAGCAACAGCCCGGGATTCCGCCATTTTGGAGTGAAAGCGATCAGCTGTCCATTGGATCTTATTGTTGTTGCTATGGCAAGCAGCTGCTTTGTTCTTTCTTTATTTATTTATTTAAAAAGCGCATTAAAGCTGAGATACAACCTGAAAGACGACAATACAACACTTACTATCACAATCAGCACTTTTAATAGTTTATTTTACAGACAAATATGCTGTTGTTTTATTGGAATTTTCATTCCAAAATGGCCGCTGCGCCATCTAGTGGCTGTTTCCCAAATCGCACTAGAGTGTCGCCTCTTGGTGATTCTATGCTCTTTGCTGATGGCGACATGCTGGGTGAATCTAGCATGTGTTTGGTCAGCGTTAAAGCTAAACTCTGCAGAAAAGTAAGTAATGAGCCAGATTTGAGGATCCTAATTATAAAAACTAGCATGTGAGTGAGCATGTAACATGCAGTTCCGGGTACAAAAGATTGCAAACTCAGATGTCCACCATGAAAATGAACTTCATCCAAAACATGCTTTATCACTGAGGAGCTGTGGAGATTTTTTTTTCTTCAGAAAATATCCCCATGAGAAACATTTGCTATCCGAATAGGGTTCCTGAGAGCCACTGTCCTTCAGAGTTTAGCTCCAACCCTAATCAAACACACCTGCTTGTAGCTTTCTTTCCTGTAGACCTTGAAGACATTGATTAGCCTGTTCAGGTATGTTTGATTAGGTTCAGATAAAACTCTGCAGGACAATAGCTATGTTTCCATCCAATGTTCCATCTATGTTTCCATCTGTTTCCAAGATGCGTATTAGACTTATGTGCAAAACTGGAGTATTGCATGAAAAACTTGCAAATAAAGCACCGTTTATAAGTCTATGAGAACAAAATTGTCGCTTCCAGACAAGGTCGGTCTGCTGGTTTGTCTATTAATGCCACCTCATCATGCCTATTTTTGCTACCACATAATCTGTTAAAATTTGGTAAATGTGCTTTCATCATAGGTTATGTCATTTTTTTTTCTACTTGATTACGCACATTCATTTTCTGTGCATTTTCAAAATTTGAGCGCATCTTGGCATTTCCTTTAAGCATGTTTATCATGTAAAAAGTAATTTCCAAACAACACATTTGAGGCCAGTGTAAACTGAGTAGCTAGTAAGTTTTGAAAACCACCAACCACAGTATCTGGTGAGCAAAAACATTAATGTCGAGCTCTGTTTAGAAGTCCTGAAGCTTTCAGTGTTTTGCCTGGATACTTCTATGGAAACTGTGTGAAGCTTTCAGATGCCTAAATGTTTCATTATTGTGTATTTGTTTCCGAGACTGAAAGGCCAACGTATATTAAACAAGATGAAATAAAAAGGGGGAAAGAGGGAAAGGACAGTCTCTGTGACAGCATGGGGCCAGTGTGTGTTTGTGTGCACATGTGTGTGTCTGGGTGGAACACTGGTTGCCAGGTTACAAGGCACAGCCATGGAGGTATATGTGCATACAAGGGACGCTCTCTTTCTTTCTCAAAGAAACTTCCCTTTTTTTGTGGGAAAACCAACAGAAAAAGTGTTATTTACAACCTGCTGCAAAAAGGAAACAACACAGTGGTGTGTAAACCCATATAGAAATCTGATACATATAAATATATGCAAACTACAATTTACTTGCTCATTTGGATTTCACATATATAAAAAAAAAAAAAAAAAAATATATATATATATATATATATATATATATATATATATATATATATATATATATATATATATACATTTTTTAACCATACAAATATGATAGTACAAATATGTACATTATTGTTCAAATATATTAGCTCTATATATATATATATATATATATATATATATATATATATATATATATATATATATATATATATATATATATATATAGATATATTCTTTTTTCCACCATAGGAATTACAAATATGTACATATACACTCACTGGCCACTTTATTAGGTACATCTGTACAAACTGTTTGTTAAAGCAAATTTCAGGAGACTCGCATCATGGATGTGCAGCCGAAAAATCTGCAGCAACAGCATGATGCTATCATGTTAATATGGACCAAAATCTCTGAGGAATCTATCCAGTACCTTGTTGAATCTATGCCATGAAGGATTGAGACAGTTCTGAAGGCAAAAGGAGGTTCAACCCAGTACTAGTAAGGTGTACCTAATGAAGTTTTTGCAATATTTTGAAATATATGTTGTAAATAAAACCCATATTGGTAACACTTTACTTGAAGGGGTGTTCATTAGACTGTCATTTAACATTTATAATCATGACATAACATTTGAAAGTTAAAGAGCCCCTATTATGCATTATTAAACGTCATATTTTGATTTTGGGGGTCTCCAACAACAGTCTGATATGCAAGGTCAAAAAACACTTTCATTGTCTTATAATATGGATTTATTTTTACCTAATTATCCCAATGACTCGTGTAAGATTTGTTCAGCAATTCATTCTTTCCAAAACCCCTCCTTAGCGCGATGTTAATCTGAGCTGATCGGTCCGAGAATCCAGTCTGTTGCGATTGGTCAACTGCGTTCAGTGTGAGACAGAGAGAAATGCCCACCCTGGCTTATCAACATTGTTGAAGTAGTCAGAGTGCAGAGTGTATGTCTAAGCCCAATGCAGGAGTGCATTAAAGTTCAACACCAGCATATTGCTCTATTCTTAACCATAAGTAAAAACAATGACACGTGTGTGGGAACAGCTGATGGTGGCCATTATAACAACAAACGGCAGGGAATCATGAGTTCACAAACGCATTTAAATCCGGTGAAGAAAGTGGCAGGTGTGGCATCAATCCCACACACACATCTGCACTTCGCTAGTGTTTGATAGGAAAGGCACGTTCATGTTTTACCTGATCCGGCACTTTATATTTAGTATTGTTTCGTGACGATGTCTGTACGAACAGGCAAAAGATCGAGATGAACAATGAATCATTTAAAAGACTCTCAAAACTTTTTATTTTACACAAAGAGCAATTTCAGATTTAATCCTCAGCTGGATGTTTTCAAAAACCCATAATAGGAGCTCTTTAAGTGTCATTTGCTAAGTTAAGAAATTATCAATGTAAAAATGACATCATTTCTTGTGACAACTTGACATAAACAAATACATCACCTATTTTTGTCTCTTTCATGACAACTTGACAAATAAAAGGCAACAAAACTTGTCATAAATCTCTCATAAACATGATTGTCATGAGCCATTATGAATTTTATAACAGTGTAATTAATATTTTTTGACCTCAGCTACAGTGATATGCTGAATTTGTCTTTAAAATGTCATGAAATATTAATCAGCAATTCAACAGCATTCACATACCCGTTCCCAATCTCCAGATTACTAATCACCATCACCTGCACATAGACAAACACACACACACACACACACACACACACACACACACACACACACACACACACACACACACACACACACACACACACACACACACTATAAAGAAGCACCTTCGTTCACTCTACCACTGACGGTACTCTTCGTATTCCTGGATTCCCTTTTGTGTTTTGTGTCTGCACAGATTTTCATATCTTTTCCAATTGTTTAATTGTTGTTTTCAATAAACTGTGCTGATTTCCATACCTCTTGTGTCAAGTCCTCAGTGTGTTGTGACAGAGTAATGACACTTTTATTAAGACATTTAATAACAAATACAGTTTGTTCCACTGAAAACATGATCAGAAAAATATTAATGATACAGTTTTAATGCCTCATCATGTTTATGACAGATTTTTGACAAGTTGTGTTGTCTTGGAAAAGACATGTTATCAAGACAAAGATGAAGGCTATTCGTGATGTGTTTGTTTATGTCAAGTTGTCATAACAAGCAATTTTATATTTGCATTTAAAATTACATAATTGAACAAATGACACTTAATAACTGTTGTCTTAAGTATACAAAAAATTTAATTCACATTAATGATGTGTACTGTATGACTATAAAGCATTCGTGATAGTCTTATCAACATCCATTCAAGTAAAATGTTACCCAGATAATTAATATATGTAAACTCCAAATATGAGTTTTTATGTCATATATGTAATTTGCAAATACTGCTATATATCAGATTTCTATACGGGAACAAAGAAACTTACAGACAAAACGAGAAACTAAAATAGTTGTGGACAGCATGTTTTTCTGCATGTTTTCCTCTGTCCTTTCGTCCTCCAGGCTCTCAGATATTTGTATTTAACAGGTTTGGATGAAGGGATCTTAGCAACACCTGACACACACACACAAACACACACACACACACAAAGCCCTCTTGTGCAAGCATTTTGTTCTGACGCCATGCGAGTGTGAATGCAGGCACAAATGAAGAGCGTGTGAGAAATCTTACCGCCTGGATCAGAGCTCCGCATTGTCAGCTCATATGTCAGGTCTGTGAAACAAAAGAGAGGACAGAAGGAGTGGACAGAGCGACAAAAGAAGGAGTGTGAAAGAGAGAGAGAGATCAGATGTTAGCCAGAGCATCACACTACCTTCAATGACAACACCTGAGAATCACATGACACAAGACATCACCTGAAACAGACACAGCAACAACTGTGAATCAGCAACGTAAGAGAGTCAACCGGGGATAAAAAAAGGGCATGATGGAGTCAGTGGGTTGATAAAAACAGCACACAACTTTTTTTTGTTTTTATTGACACTACTGGTTAGGCTATTTTGTCATGTAAATAAAGCTGGGTCAGTTGAGCTCACAAAGTGTCAAACTGTACACACTTTACCTATAAATGCAGATAATAAGTCTATCATCTGGGTGTTTTACATTCACAGTTTCTCTTTGCATCTTTAAATATGAGCATATTACATAAAAAACACACACAAACCCAAAGATTGTTCCCACAATTCACAAAAAACAAACCTGTGTGTATTAATGTGTCATCATACCTTACACACTTTATGTATGAATGCATATACAGTGGGTGACACTTCAAAATTATCTTCACTCTTTGCGCCACGCCAAGACTGAAGGCTAATTAATACTTCTGCGTCAAGCACACGTGTATGGTATGGCGCAGCCTTTGCACGGTCGCATAGCTAACGTGCACATCTTAAAAAATTTAACTACACGTCGCAATGACACGTAACGCAAGCTCTGTGATTGGTTGGCTTTGAAGTGCTGACGAGTGTGGATAGGGGTGCGAGCCACCCGAGCGCGCTGCAGCGAGTGTTTATATGTGTCGAGTCCCGTGAAGGAGCTCCAGATGAAAACCTTTGTTTTATGTTTACCTTATGATTAAAGTTGTTGTACGTCCGCCAGTTCCCACCTCTCAACAAGCAAGTTTTAGCTACTTGTTCATTATGGTAGCGTTCAGAAAAAAAAACAAAACACCAACAAAGAAACTTGACACAGAGGTAAATAAAAACCTACTGCCAGCTAGCGTTTCAGAAGTGTAATTGCAGAGCAACACAAGCAGCACGCAGAAGTATAAATGCACAACAATGCACAGGGCATGCACTGTGCACACTCTGATCACTCAACGCAGAAGTATAAACCAGCCTGAAGGGATTAAGGGCTCTATTTTGACGGTCCATGCGCAGAGCGCAAAACGCAGGTCTTAATTCAGGTATAATTTCCAGCAAACAAATAAATGAACAATAATAACAAAATGTCTTGAAAAACCTGAGTTATATCCTAAAACACATGCTGTGCCCCTTATGATCTAAAACCTGACAGGTGGGCAAATCTAAGCTTGTTTTTAATAAAACAAATATAAATATGGATATAATAAATAATACTGCTAATAATAATAACATTTTACAAAAGCAAATTGTTATGAATGAACTGAAAAAGCCTCCAGAGATGAAGAAGACATAAAAGCAGTGATTTTTCATATTTATGTGGGCTAGAAAATAATATGTTTTGTAATATTTTAATCCTTTATATTTATGTCCTATATCTATTCTTATTATATCCTATATATATCCTTAATATTTACATTTTTTCATATGTAAAGATATTTGCCTGTTGCTCTCTTGTGCCTATTAAGCAGTGTGTAAGCGAGGCGCAACTCTGCGCCGGAGTTTAGACCGGGTTAGTTTTGGTCTAATGAAAAATCTATTATAGTTTCTCAAAATAGCAATGCGCCAGCGGTCCGCCTCAGAACGCCTTCCTTTTTAGACCAGAACGCCTATGGGTGCACAAATGAGCGCTAATGCATTTGATATTTAAACAGCGTAGCGCAACGCCTCAAAACGACTCTTGCGCCAAGCTTAAACTACCAAAAGACTACTGCGCCACGCCTTGTGCCACACTGCGCCGGGTGTATGATAGGGCCCTATGAACGACTTGTCAGGTGTAACAGCAGTTTGCGACTAAGCCACCAGGGGGCACAATGGGACGAGATGTGAACAAACAAATATATAAAGTATCTCTAAATACCCTGCTACTTGTAAATGAAGATGAAATAATGAAACAAAGCATTATTATCTCTTCATTATTCATTAAAAACTTAAATGTATAATAAGTCTGTCATCAGGGTGTTTTTAACTCAAATTTTCTCTTTGCAATTTTAAATATGAACATATTACATTAAAAAATAGAGACCTATGGAATGTCCCCACAATTCACAAAAACAAATCTGTGTATATTTATGTGTGTATGTGTGTGTTCTAATGTAGACTATGAACAACTATTAGACTATTAACTCTTAACTATTAACTCTTTTTTGTTTTGCCTACAAAGTGACTTCTGGCCTTGCTCCTTCTTATCTGCTCTCGCTTCTGCAGATCTATGTGCCCTCCAGAAACTTGCGTTCTGTGATGGTGGTTCCATCCCAAAGGGGGAAGAAATCACTTTCGCTCACGCTCACGCTCACGCTCAATCTGCCCAGTTGGTGGAATGAACTCCCTAACTGCATCAGAACAGCAGAGTCACTCGCTACTTTCAAGAAACGACTAAAAACTCAACTATTTAGTCTCCACTACACTTCCTAATCTGTAATTGCCTCTCTGAATACCACACTAACTAAACAAAAAAAAAAAAAAAAAAAAAAAACTAATACTACTAATACTTCCCTTCTTAGACTTTACAGACCTGAAACTTGCTTATAGCACTTATTCATTGTTGCTCTTGGTTGTGTAAATTGCTTCCTTGTCCTCATTTGTAAGTCGCTTTGGATAAAAGCGTCTGCTAAATGACTAAATGTAAATGTAAATGACTATGATTTCATGCTGATAATGCTATTAGTTTTTTTTTTTTTGCTTCACTTTTTATGAATTTTCCTAGAAGAACTGCTTTATTTAACTCTTTTTTGTTTAGTCTAGCTCTGTGCTTTGGTTTTCATTCGTGCCTTCATTTATCACACACAAGAGGACCATTTTTAACTTAGAATTTTATATTGACTTATGAAAACATTCATGGAGACTGCAGTGTGAAGCAACATTAGATTAGAGTTGAGCAATCAAGAAAAAGGTTAACTGTATTCTCACAGGCCTGAAAAATTATCTCGGCAGCACTGCTTCACTCTATTAGCATTGAGAGGTGACCTGGAGGCAAAATGGCACAAGATGTATGTGCAGGCCGTGTCTTCAGAAGAGTGACAGAGATCTATGTTTGTTTTCCATCTAGACCTGTAAAGTGACCCCACCACAAATGGCCTTTAGATGTTTATGTCATTAAATGAATACAATACCTTACAAAAGTCTTGTCGCCTGTAGAAGCTTTAGGAACAACAAATAATAACTGCACTTCTAGTTGAACGTTTAGTATCAGATGTGGCTTATATGAAAGGCAAAGGCCTCTAGATTACACTTATTTTACCAAAATAAAATATGATCGTGCCTTGATTTTTAATTATTTAATTAGAACAGTAAGGTCTGACTTAACTTAGACAAAAATCTTGTCACTTAACAGACATAATGTGCAGTATAGAATATAAAGTCATGGTGCATGGAAAAAGAGTTAATATTGTGTATGACTCCCATAAGCTTGAACATCTCTGCAATGACTCAAATATTTTAATAATAAAGTCATCTAGAATGGTAAAGAAAGTGTTCTTGCAGGACTTAACTTCAAGTTACGCCTCTACTACAAGTAACGCCCCATCATGTTATGCCCCTGTCTTGCAGTCTGCAAACAGACCCTACTCGGAAATACTGCACTAATTTATATTAAAATGAAAAAAATTCCATTTTCAATGGGGAAAATGTATGTTAATTACTGCATAAATATACATTTTACCACAAAACTCTCTTAAAATTTTATAAAATTATATAAACTTGATAAAAAAAAAAACAGTGGGTACTTTACAGGTGTTCAAACTTTTTTGACTGACTAAGACTACAAGTCTTAAGTCTTAACAAGTTTGATTCCCAAATAAGGGACACCAGAGGGTTAAAGCTGTACTAAAGACCACACCATCTAGCAGGGATGATGATTCATTTCAGCTTATCTAAGCAAATGGACATTTTTCTTTGAAATGAAATTTTAGTTTTTGAAGCACTTAATTGAAAACTGATCTGGAATTCAATGTTGTTTTTTCTACATGAAATGTTTTGAACAAAATTTCATGCATAGTATACTTCAAATCAATGTTGCAATAATTATGTGGATGTGCATTCAATGCAGGTGCACCAGCAGCTAGCTCTCTGCAACTCTCACATGGTTGTCCACTGAAGCTAAGCAGGGCTGCACCTGGTTAGTACCTGGATGGGAGACCGCATGGGAAAGCTAGGTTTCTGCTGGAAGTGGTGTTAGTGAGGCCAACAGGGGGCGCTCAACCTGCGGTCTGTGTGGGTCCTAACGCCCCAGTATAGTGAAGGGGACTCTATAATGCTTGGATGAGACGTTAAACTGAGGTCCAGACTCTCTGTGATTGTTAAAAATCCCAGGATGTCCTTTGAAAAAGACCAAAATTTGCCCATCATGGCAATCATATCATAACTGGCTTCTTCTCCACCAAGCAGCTGGTGTGCGGTTTGGCGCAATATGACCGACATCGCGTCATCCAGGTGAATGCTGCACATTGGTGGTAGATGAGAAGATCCCTGCATTGTGTAAAACGCTTTGAGCGTCTAGGAAAGTGTTATAGAAATTTAAGAAATTATTATTATTATCATCATCATTATTATTATTATTATTATTATTATTATCTCCAAATTGTGAATTGTGTCCTCGGGTTAGCCACATAATTTTTAAAATACATCAGGTTTTATCAAATTATATTTTAAAAAGTGTTGTCAGTTATGTAAGGTGTTTTGAGAAAAATCTATCAAATTAAAAAGCAGTTAATTTAAAAACCTTTTTTTATTTCAGAATCTCAAGTAATTGTACATCACTGGTAATAATCCCCTTTTTAAAAATGTCAAAGTGAATTCATCTTTTTAACAGGGTTGATTTTGCAGACTGTTGCGGTATTCTGAAAAGTTGAGATGTTTTCAACTGGGAGCACCTGGAAAGCATATTACTCCCAATATGTGCGCACAAGAATATTGGAAATTATGAACTTGCATGTGGAAAAGATGGAATATGTGACTGGCCCCTTACGAGGGCACTTCATATGTGTGAACAACAGGAGTGCCAATGCAATTATCCACTCTACGTTCTCTCATTTATAATACATATTCAAATGTCCTCCAAACAAACACATGAACTGATAATAATAATAATAAATACGCTGTAAACATAAATACTCAGTAAAAATATCTTACATAAGCAAAAATTTGTCATTTGAATTCGAGGCATTATTAGACTGTCCAGAATTAATCATTATACTAGATGTGTGCATTCCTAGTGAGTGCAAGAGGGAAGATACTGATGTGAAATATGAGTTATTTTTAGTGGGAGCGGAAAAAATCTTTCAAGAGTGTAACTGAAAAATCGATTCCACGCAGAGCTTTAGATCACTGTGTTTCGTTTACTGCGGACACTTTACAAATGATTTATGTACTTGTGTAGGTATGCTGCCTCATGCAGTTGTGCTGTCAATGTGTGTGTGTGTACCTGTGCAGTGTTGTTGCAGACGGCGGATCTCAGAATGAAGGCCTTTCAGTGTGTTGGCATGGTCTTGCTGCAGGAACAGCAGGTTCTTCTGAGCGCTGTGCAGCTGATTCTCCAAGGTCACACTCACTGAGGCCATGATGAAGATCTACAGTCACACTCACATGTAGAAATAAACTCACTCACTCACACATTCATACACACACACACACACACACACACACACACTAGCCCAGGAGATCTGTAAACACAACAAAAGAAAAGACGTTTAACACCAAAAAAATGGCATGGCATAATTTATCACTGTTTGTAGCCTTTATTTTTATTCAATGAGTCTTTTTTCAATGCTGTAAATCTAAATCTGTTCAATTTAAAAACTATTAGTTCTAATCTGTTAATAAATGTATATTGTTTAAATATATCTAGATTTTGTGAGATACTTCCAACATATGGGAGTGAAACTGACGCAGCTTTATTCTCCACACTATAGATGGCAGTATTGCACATTAAGCTTATCGAGTCTGTGGCTGCAAATCAAAGAGAGAAATCATAAACTTTTTTTAAAATTGATTAAACTGGGGAGTACAGAATTATACATAATACAGTATACAAGGGAATTAACAACAAAAATGAATCATGTATATTAAGTATTTTTTCCAGCAGTTGAGGTGTCTTAATTGCGTTGTCATTACTTAACATAAATTGTTTACAATTTGGTACAGTCAGCTTACAATTTGTTCTGTGGATGTGGTACTTGCCAAATAAAATGAGAATTTTTGTTATTTTGTTATTTTGCAATCCATAAATAAAGTAATTTTATCAGTTATATTGATCAATTTATAATAGACTTCAGAAAGTAATAATAAAACTTGGGACAAAACTCCATTTAATATGGAAAATATTCCTTCTATCACGTGCCGATGCTTTTATTTAGAACATAGTTTAAATCAGCCTTCGTTGATGTCCTCAATTTGGCAACCTGCTCTTGCGTGTTTTGAACCAGGGGTGCAATACCTGGTTCAACCACTGGGTGTCAAGCGAACACCTTAAATCTGCATTAATAGTATATTGTTTGGCCATTTTTTGGCCTATATGTATGACTTTATTTACATTCATTCATTCATTCATTCATTCATTTTCTTTTTGGCTTAATCCCTATATTAATCCGGGGTCGCCACAGTGGAATGAACCCCCAATTTATCCAGCACGTTTTTACGCAGCGGATGCCCTTCCAGCTGCAACCCATCTCTGGGAAACATCCACACACACACACACTCACATTCATACACTACGCACAATTTAGTCTACCCAATTCACCTGTACCGCATGTCTTTGGATTATGAGGGAAACCAGAGCACCTGGAGGAAACCCACGCGAATGCAGGGAGAACACAAACTCCAAACAGAAACGCCAATTAACCCAGCCGAGGCTCGAACCAGCCACCTTCTTGCTGTGAGGTGACAGCACTACCTACTGCAATGCATATGTTTATAAATGTCTACCCCAGTAGGACTGTGATTCACCTGTATTGAATAAAATTAAATCAGATAAATATGATATATTTTATATTTGTGAAATCCAAATATGAACTTCAGTGTCATATGTAATTTGTATATATCGCCTTATCACATTTCTATATTTAAAAATCACTAATTATCTGTAAGGGATTACAAGTGTGTACTTACATGTTAAACTTGTACTCTTATTGGTTTTTCTATGTCTTTTAGGCCAATGGTTCTCAAAGTGGGGGTCGGGACCCCCAGAGGGGTTGCGGGACAAAGAAGGGGGGGTCGCCTGGTGATTTCCAAAAATTGAATTATTTTTATTAAACCATAAGAAATACCATATTTTACCCATAACCTACTGAAAAGAAAAAAAAATTGTCGTTTATAGTTACCATATACTAAATAGTTACTATATTAGCTTATAGTTCTATTGGATTGCAATGAATTATATTATATTACAGACTAGATTAAAGATCAATAGCGTCAGATGCAGCAGATTGATTTTATAATACCAGGTTAAACTTTTTGGCCCATTTACAGCACTCACATACATTTAAAAAAATTAAGCGAAGAATAGACTTGGGTCTATTGGTGTGTATGTTCGCCATTGCATGCAAGGTTTCTATATTATATTGGGGGTCGCGAGTCACTGGCATTGTCATTTTGGGGGTCGCAGGCTGAAAAGTTTGGGAATCCCTGTTTTAGGGGATAGACTGAAACGAAACCGAAGTTGATAGTTAAAGATTTTCTGACATTTGCTGTAACACTTTTAATGACTCCCATTCTGACATTTGCGGGCGACACTTTTTACTGCAGTAAACATCTGAATAGGTGAGGATGTCAATTTTCACAAAATAAACATTTTCAAAGATGGAAAATTTGGAAGTATCAAATGGCACTAAAAGTGTAATCGACTAATGATATGCAGTCAGTGTGATTTCTCACATTAGACTGCTCTGTATTTTGCCCCATGTTATATTTGACCTACTGTACCTCTTGTTGTGTTTTGTTCATGAAAATAGCTGACACTTAAATTAATTGTCACTTGATGTTTTGTCACATTTGCACTTGTTATTGATGTATTTTTTTAATCCAAAAGCCACCGACTTTTTGTAAAAGTTGAATTATGTATGTTTTTTATTATAATAATTATTATAAAATCTTTATGTTAAAATAAAAATTTCCAGGCCTTTGGCATTGAATAAAATTTAGATTTGGACCTCTGAATCAACAGAGAGCCCTTAATTTACAGTGTAGGATGGAGGGCCGCATCAGATTCTAAAAACCATATGATTGGTCAGAAATCAGAGTGCAGAGTGATGTCATCAAGTATTTATGTTCTAAATTTGAATGATGTCATTGTTTAAGAGCACACTAGCAATCCAATTAGCAAACTATCCATCCCAAATAGCATTCGAATATAGATTTAGCATGTCCAAAATGACAATATGCTGAAATGAGTATTCCAAAGGTCTCAAATGGAAATTCAAATAGAACTACAAACCCAGGTAAAAAGCATTAACAAACTACAAACATGGCTGACTCAATGATGTTTGAATGATTGTTAATTAACCTCTAACCAATTGGAAAATATTTTAATCACGTTTTTACGACGTTATACATCATTTAAAACAACAATGAACTTTTATATAGATGTGTTTGGTCATTAACTTCTGAATGCCCAATTATGCAAACACCTGAGATTTTCTCTGCATGAAAGACTCGCGAATGGCAGATTAACTTGCTGCTGCTTCTCCAGTATGGAGAATCCGCTACATCCTGACGTTACACACTCAAAAGCACATATTTTTTTAGGACATAGTGTAAGTAGAAAAATTGGAACGCATCATTCAACATATTTAATAAAAAAAAAAAAACATTAGAATTTACAGTTACTACATTACTACATTAACACTTTTCTCCAAAGCCAATATTTATTTATTTAAGATCACACATACACAGTAAGCAGCACAAAGCCTCCTTAAAAAAAACCAAGTGAAGTCAGCAGTGGTTAATGTTACGTTTACTCCAGGACAAATGCATTACTGATGCAATGGAGCGACGGCCATAGTGAGGTCAGAAGACTGTCCCACTCTCGCACAAACACAAAAACATTACAGCAATCAAATTATATTTACTCTGATTATCACAAAGTCCCTTTCCCGTATTCTCTTCCCTCTGTCTGAGAGGAGGACAAAGAGCTATATTTAGCTAATGACAGCATAATGGTTGGACATTACGTAATGCCTTTCAGATGAGGCAGAGGAGCGAGGGAGGGTCTGTAGTATTGATTTAAGGGAGAATGCTGCTTTACACAGACAGCGCACTACTTAGGGATCATCTCCCCACCCCAGATGCGCTCTTAAAGAGGTCATATCATACATATTTTATCATTTTACTTTACTCTGATCCACTTAAAATGTATGTAGGGCTGTGCGGTATTTTGAATATTCATGGTATATTGCAGCCATTGTGCTTGTGATTTAAAATTAAGCAGTCATTAATGATTAAGTGTGCTTCTCAATTTTCCTAAAGTGGTGTGGGATTAGTATTCCCGTTATTTCTTGTCTCGTGAGTTTGTTTGATGTTTTATTTGAGTTTAATTCAAGTTTAGATTTAAAGGGCACCTATGATGAAAATCAACTTTTGTAAGCTGTTTGGACTGAACTGTGTGTAGAAACAGTGTGTCCACTGTCAAATTGGAGTGATATAAACACAACAAGTCTCTTTTTTAAAATTTACTGACGCTAAAATAGGATCTAAATTCCAGTGATTTGAGGCCCACCATAACGTATCATAGGAGTGCGGTTTTCCCCGCCCACCAAATTGATGCCATGTCTCCATAATAACATGTATACACATGTCCAAAGAACATTTTTTTGCAAGGAAACTGGGATTAAATCATATATTACAACTCTTTGATCAACTCAATAATTAATTTCATAAGGTTAAAATGTTTTTAAAACAAAGCATGTTTGTAATAAAGTGAGTAAAATCGCCTTGTAATTATTAACCGCTATAATCACCACAGCCGCATGGTGTCAGTAAACGTGCATATGTGTGTTTGTGATGCAATCGGCATTTGTGTGTGTCTCATCATTTCAGAAAGGCTTATTTGGTATTTTTGACTAGTGACCTTATTTCAGCTTCATCCGTGTCTTTCTCTATCACTGACTGCTGTTTATCTGACATAATGCATGAGAAACAGACTCGCATGTTGGAACTGTGGGCTAAAAGAGGTAAAAGAGGTACCCTTCAAAGTTTAGATTTACTGAAACACAGCGTCATTTGTTTGTGTCATGACTCAAGTTTGTGAATCTTTCTCACATATTAAAATTTTACGTTCGCCTCACGGTGGTGTAGTGGGTAGCACAATCACCTCATAGCAAGAAGGTTGCTGGTTCGACCCTCGGCTGGGTCAGTTGGCATTTCTGTGTGGATCTACATGTTCTGTCCTTGTTGGCGTGGGTTTCTTCTAGGTGCTCAGGTTTCCCAGAAGTCCAGTTCATTTAAGTGACGTTGGAAGAAATTATATTCATCACCAAATCAGTATGTAGTATTTGAATGAATTCAGAAAAAACACTGTGATACTGAAAACATGAGTGGGAAACTAATTTAGTGAAAAACATGCTTTGATTATTAAAATAAAATCTTGCAGTGACTTTAAGAATAGATCTGTTTTGGGATGTTATCTAAAATGCAACACTGTAAAGTTTTATCTTGGTGTAAATAAAAC